ATATTTAACTTTATAATGCTATAACTTATTGAAAAGTTTATGGATCCACACAATTTTTTTATGAGAAATAATATTTTTTAATAAACCTTTTTTCATTTGACATACTTTATCTTAATCGAGATATTAATAAGGAACCAGCAGATCAAGTAGCTTTTGGAATAAAACACCAATTATTTTAAAATTAAACACTATCTAAAGATTTGCATCGAAGCGTTTTTTTTTGATAGTGATTTTAATCACTGTCAGATATCATTATACTTGATCCATCTATACCACGTCACCACTGTGCCGCGACCCCCCTGTGCTGGGTTTTTAAATTATAAGTTTGTTCACTTTGTTACCTGATACACTTCAGTGCCCTTATAGGCGCAGGCGAACTCTCTCTAGTGGAGTTCTTGTGTTTTGGTCAGCTAATCCATTAGGATTGGCTGATAGTGATCTGTATTAACAGATCACTATCTTCTTTTTCTTCGTCTTAATCCCAACTACTTGGGGTCGGCCAATCCGCCTAAGTTTTGTTCAGGACGCCTCGTACTTTTTGACAAACATTTTACGCCGGCTGTCGACCTGACACTACCTCATCAGTTATCTCTTACGACTGGCAGAGGGGCCGTGGAAGTATTGTTATACCCTATGCACAGGGAGACCTAATACATATCACTATATACATCCTATAACCAAACCAGTAGTTTACAGGTGCCGGGGTAGGTGGCAGATTTAGCTGTGTCTTCCTCCTACATAGAAATGTTATATGGTTTTTATAATGTAATCGGAAGTTATATAAAAATGAGCGTAAAGGGTTCTATAAAGGTCACTGAAATAAAACAAAAATGTTAACATTCCGTGAGTTCATGAGACATTGCATAAACATGGAATGGATACGATGGGATTGTAACATGAACATAAATTATAAAAAAAAATAAATGTAATTTCTTTGTAATTATTATTTATAGATATTAAAGCTTTTAAGCTAATAACACAAAAATAGCCTACTACATAATTTTAGGTTAGAGTTGTTTAAGATTGTTTGTTTGAGACTAATTTGTGTTTATTTAATTTAATAAAACTTTTCACATTTTTAACTCCCAAGTTACAATATGGAAATAATTAATTATAATCTTTAGTTTCAAAG